CCCACATTTACCCTTTACCTATGGGTCAGGAAGATCCCCTGGAGAAGGGAATGGCTACCCAATCCAGTATTCTTTGCCTGGAGAATTCCATGGACAGAGGACCCTGGACTGTCCATGGGGGTCACAAAGAGTTGGACAAGACTGAGCGACTAACACTTTGACTTTTTTTTTTTAATTTTAAAACATCTAACAAATCCTTTATTGTTAAGGATGAGGAAACCAGTTTTAAAAGGCTGCAGTTTAGCAAGAGAAGTTGATTCCCACTGAGAGGAAAAGAAGAGTTAAGGAGTGAACATCACCCAGTCTGAGAGATGGAGAATGAACAAGTGAGATAACTAAGCAGAAGACAGAAAGTGGTGGGCTGCAGCAAGGGACAAAGTGTGGCAGACAGAGTACCGAAGGTCAAAATCCAGGCCACGCTTACCTTGGGAGTAATAGGGCAGGGATACAGGGAAAGGGAGGCCCCCAGAGTGGGAGAGATGTTGAGGGTTAGCCCCCCTCCCTACTCTGTTCCCATAACCTCATTCATTCCCTCAACACTCCTTCTCAATCCCTCTAAGGCTGCTCTGCTCCTTCAGCTCTGACCCCATTTCCTCAGGATCTCGTTCCCTGAGGAACCAGGCCTGACATTTCAGACAGAGGCTGAGGGAAGGAGGTAGGTCAGAAAAAGACACTGTGTGTCTGCGTCATTTTATTTTTTGCCGTGATTATTTTGGAACACAGGGGCCAAAGACGTAAGTACTTAAACATTTACCAGGAAGTTCAGAGATAGTCCCAGGTACCAAAGAATATAAGATTTCTCTAATCTCTGCTGAAAAATTGCTCCTGAGTATCAGATTCTGGAGAATGAAAATGATGATTTGGAATTTCCATTCTTGTTGGTTATTGTGGCATAAATGTACAGAGTGAAAGATCAAGGTGCCCCAGAAGTAGGGCCAGACAGCACCTTCAGAACTGGAAAGCTTCCCTTGACCATGACAACCCTAGCCTTCTCTTAATTCAGTAGCCAGTGGATCCTACAGATCCTCTGATCTTCTAGAAACCTCCAAAGCCTTTCATCCTTGGTAGCCCTTCAGACATCTGCAGTTTTTAAGACCCCAGGCCTTATAGGGACTGCTTGGGGAAGGGCTATACCTCTGACCCCACACTTGTAGGAAAAATAATTCAAGTCCTCATTTATTTGTGACAGCTGTGGACATCCCAAGAGCAGGCTAGGATCGGGGCTGAGCATTTGCTGTTGGAACCTTCTGAGGCAAATAATTCTCCCATAGATGAAAAACAATTTCTTGATATACTTGGTGTATGTAATCCTCTTTTGATGTTTTTGAGTCCTTGTCTCCAACCACCCTGAAAGCAGCACCGAGAACATGTCTCAATCAGAACGGCCTCTAGACCACTTCTGCTTGCAGGCTTCATGGCCTGCTGGGCTATGAACTCCAGAATAGGAAGTATATCTCTGAATATCATTGTCATTCCATAGTGCCTAGCTCTGTGTCTGGCACATAGTGGTCATTTCAATAAATTTGTGACAAGCAAATTAATTGGTGACAATCATGTTGATAAAGATCACAGAGGGACAATGACAAAGGTTTTCTTGAAGCTAGAAGATGCTTTTAAGGCAATACATCTCCCCTTAGCAGCACGAAGTCTCCCCAAACCCTGGCTTCTTCTTCTTTTTAAAAAAAAATTTTTTTTTAATTTGGCTATGTCGGGTCTTAGTTGTGGCATGCAGGTTCTTTAGTTGTGGCATATGGGATTGAGTTCCTTGACCAGGGATTGAACCCAGGCCCCCTGCATTGGGAGCATGGAGTCTTAGCCACTGGACCACCAGGGAAGTCCTAAGCCCTGGCTTCTTTAATTAGAGAAAACAGACAGAAGTTGATCTTCAGATGAGGTCTTTATCCTCCCATCATGCCCATGCCAGGAGAAGCAACCAGTGATAGAGAAGGGAATGAGAGACAGCTGCTTGGGCATGATACCTGGGGTAAGGAGAAGACAGGGATCTCCTCTGCATGCCTGCCTTTGCATTCCTCCAGCTGGGCCATCTTAGTGTCTTTAGCCCCTTATCAAGAAGGAACATGACTCTCTGGATTCAGAAGATCCAGTCCTTCAGCTGTGCCACCTCCACCAACTCTTCTTCCACTGTCTAGGCCCTCTATTCTTTGTACTTTGGTTTAAAAATGAAATTTAAACTCCATATCCTTGAGACTACCCTCTTCTCTCCAAGGGAAGAATGCCATTGCCCAGTAATATGCCATTTTCTCTTTAGAACAACTCTATAAGGTTGATAAAGCACAGTTGATTCTGGCACAGAGAAAGGAACTCATTTGTCCAAAGTATTTCAAGATTCTTCACTCTGGGCTTTTACCTGTAACACATACCATATGACCCAACCAGTAAAAATCACACATCATCTTCTAAGACTGCCTGAGAATTTACATGTTGTGTCCTAAAATGGACAAAGTTCTCAGGTAAGAACAGATTGTAAGAGACCAACTGGCCCACACTTTGGCTATCAGACAAGTCAACTGTCTAGAAGTTGAGTGTGTGTTGAGAAAATACTTGACTCTGAAGTCAAAAGACCTAGGACATTTGTCCCAGGTCTGCCATTAACTCAGTGGACAATCTTGGGCAAGTCATCTAAGCCTCTGGGACTTAGCCTTCTGTAAAATAGCGACAATAATATTTTCATTTTCTACCTATTGTACATATAATAGTCTACCTATTACACACTTGTGAAAATTAAATGAGATGGTGCATGTGAAAGCTATGAAGTACCAGACAAGTGTTAATTTTAACATCTCAGCCAAACTGTATCTTTGGAGACTCTTCATGTAAAATGTAAATAGTAATCCTTCTTTGTTTATAAGAAAGTTTTATAATGACAGAGATTATGAGTTCATCTCTGGAGTCAGGCTGCCTGAGTAACCTTAGGCAATAAGCAATCTTGCTTCTTTCTGAAGCCTCCATGAAGAGGTGATAATACCCATCTCATAGGTATGCTTATGAGAATTAAATGAGGCAATGTATGCATGGTGCTTAATTTGCCTGTCATGGAGAAACAAACTCAGTGAATGTTAGCTGCTACTATTACTGATTTTATTAATGAAGTGTGCCACAATGAGGCAGTGCCGTCCATTAAGATCTGATAGAGATCTGAGTCAAGAATCAAAAAGATTCACCTTTTTGGACCTCAGTTTCTCTACCTGCACCATAATAAAAATCCATGCTTTCCTTTTTCCAGATTTTCATGGGGATTAAAAAAAAATATGAAGACTTTGAACTAACTGGAATGTTATAAATTGTAAGGTTTTTTTAAATTGAGTTATTTATTAAGACTAAATTTTTATCAGGTCATCAATTTTTGTTCATTCCTATCTGCCTTTGGTAAAGTTGTCCACTTCATAGAAAAGGAGTACAACATCTCCCTGTCAGTAAAAAAGATTTCAAATATCATCTTAAAGTACATTCTACAAATCTGCAAGAATATACTCTTTGCAAAGAAAAATTTTCTTTAGGGTGTTCCATATCCTCAATTTGCTTTCTGTACATATGCTGATTTTAATATTCATCCAACTCGTGAATTTCCACTTTGGGTATTATCTGCTTTCCATATTTAATCCCAAAAATGACGTCTCATTGCCTTGCAGCATGCTTCCAGATTACCTCCTTTTTTCTGATTATTAATAGTTAGTATGGCTTCAGGGAATACTTTCATTTTAACATTAAACTGGGAAAAAACAGAAATAGAAAGATAAATCTGTAGCAAGATCAAAATTAGATATCATGGCTAAATATAAATCTGGAGGGAATTATCTAATTATTTGGATGGTCCCTTATCACAGACAATCTAGGATTGATTGCCTTTCACTTTTTCCACATAAGAGAACAAAATGGTTAATGAATACCAAGTGTAATAATTTTTTCTTTTGAAGAGAATAATTTTAAGCAGTAACTTAAATGCTTTTTCCCTCAAATGTCTCATGTATATATTATAGCCTGTGATTTTCACAACAGCGTGCATTCTCTTTGTGGCCCATTCAGGTTCAGTTTGACTTGTAGGTCAGAGAGCATTGAGCTGGGAAGACCAGGATTTGGTTATGGATTCACTGTGTAGGTCAACTTTCTCAGTTACTTTGTTCCTTCCACTCTGCTGAGCAGACTTGGAATGGACAACTCTGCTCCTTTTCAGTCTCGGTTTAATTTACAAGCTAGCAGCTGCGTTTTTAGGTTGGACCAACACCAAGTAAGGACTTAGATATGTGAAGAAAGACAAATGTGGTGCCACATGAGGCACAATAGCTATAAAGTTCACGGATATAATGCAAACCGCATGCAAATATTATGCAAACTTTTCATTAATTTGTAGAAACTTACTTTGGAGCTTGCAAGCAACATTGAGATCCTATGAGGATTTAAAACTAATGCTTTTAGGTTAAACCAAAAGTAATGCTCTTTGAAGTTATTGCTTTCTTCATACTTACCGGGACTCAAAATTCCTGAAAGTTTGACACTCCTCCCAGCTACCCATAATGATTTCACTACTGCTTTATTCCATCTTACACCCGGCCTCGGCCCCGGCCCCGGCCCCGCCCCCACTTTGCCTGACGTCACGTGACATCGTATTTGCATACTACCTGGGACTGGGTGTGACGCTCCCCTTTTCTGCATCTTGTCATTGGCGGTATCGGAGAACCAGCCCCCTTCCGGGCGGGCCAATCAGCGAACTCTCGGACGTGGGGCAGCAGGCGGTGGTGGGATGGAGGTGGGGTCTTGGGGTTGGATCGCTAGGCATATTAACCAATCACCCTCTGGTAGGGGAAGATCAAGCCACGGAATGGCTGGGAGGAGGGGTCTGGGGATCCGTAGGCCAATGAGGACTCTGGGCTGAAGGGCCGGTCTCCGCCCCGTAGGGCAGATAAGCAGCTGCAGCGGGGGTTGGGGGGCTGTGTGGGGCTCGCTGTGGGTCCGAGGCAGGCGGGCAGTCCGGCGGGCGGGCGATGGCGGGGGCCGCAGCGGGCGGCAGAGGCGGAGGTGCCTGGGGGCCGGGTCGCGGAGGGGCCGGGGGGCTCCGGCGGGGCTGCTCTCCTCCAGTCCCTGCCGGCTCCCCCCGGGCTGGTCTGCAGCCGCTCAGGGCCACCGTCCCCTTCCAGCTGCAGCAGCCGCACCAGCGCCGGGACGGGGGTGGCCGCGCAGGTGAGCCGGGCCTGGAGTGCGTGCCGCTGAAGGAGCCGTTGAGGGGGGAGGGCTCGCGTGACGGGGGGAGGGGGAGGGGGAAAAGTGTAAGGGGGAAGTGGAATAGGGGCGAAGGAAGAGAAAGGGGGTCGCGCAGAGTCTGCGAGGATGGAAGGAGCGAGAGCGAGGAGCGGTGAACGCGGAGTGCACCGCCGGGACATGGTACAGGGGAGTCAGGCCGGGAGGTGAGGGGAAGGTCCTGGCAGATGGAGGCTGGCTTTGGGGGCGTAACCGAAATGTGGGCAGAGATGTGGTGTGGGGGTGAATGGAAGATGCACTGGTGGCAGCGAGGTGTGAGGCGCGTGATGGGGGCGCCCTATGCAGGGATTGCACTGGAGCGGGGAGCCGGTGGGCGTTGGATGTCTACACGCTGAGGGGGAGGGGCATGGAAGAGAGCCCCGTGGAGCCATGTGTTAGTTCTCCAACTTGAGTTTGGCCCCAGCATCCCGTTCTGCAGCTCTGGAGTTCCTTTTCCCACCACTTCTTGTGCGCTTCGCTTTATGGCATCTCCTGGAGCTAGTTTCTTCTAAGCCGTTGGAATAAGTTTAACGGCTTCTACCACCATACAAACGCTCCGCTCCTACTCCCTACATTCCTGTTGGTATAGCCCCAAAGTTGTATGTTTCCAGATCACAGACCTGCTTAATATGGTTGTCTCATTCCAACCATCGCGCGCTCGCGCGCGTGTGTGTAGGTGTAGGATCTGGGTAGTTTGCCCCCTGCCTTTCCGTTCTCCCCCCACCAGTGCTGTTTTGTCCTGAGCGTGTCGGTCAACGTGGCAGTGGGGTGAGGGCTACAGTCAAGTACAGTGTGGCAAATACTCCCACTTTCTCAACAGCACCAAAAAGGTGTCTCAGTAGCAGCTAACGTGGTGGATGTGGTTGGCAAAGGGCAAGCTTAACCTTGCTTTCACACTCAAAGTTGTAATGGATCCCTTGCAAATGCAGGCAGTTAGGAATGGGAGAAGGAACCTACTTGCATGAGGAGGTTGGCAATAAGTTGAAAGTGAGGCTTACATTTGATTCACAGCAGATGTGAAAAGATCACTGCACACTTCCAAAGCCTCAGGGTCTACCAAATGTACAAGTCATAGCCCCTGCCATCTGATGGTTAATGACATTCCCGAAACCAGAGTTTCTCAGGCTTTTTGTGATTACTAAGCTTAGTTCCAGCCCCTCCTGAAAGTGTGGTTGCTACGGTGCCTTCCTAGGTAGGAATGGGATTAAGAGGGTCTCTGAGGTAGAAAGTCTTCGTCCGTCTGGACTTCATTGTAAATGTTAGCATTGTGTCTTGGAACACAGAAACTTGGTCAAATCTGGTAGCAAGATGGTAACCAACTAGTAAAAGTATGCCTAGAATCTGACGATGTAGAGCAAGGCAATGCCCAGACCGACTCAGGCCTATCGTGAACTGCTGTAAAGCAAACCACAAGAGTACAAACCTGTTGGTTTTGTTTGTGCCTCCTTAGAGTCAGGGAAGTTAGTAGAACAGCAAGCACCAGAACCTAGTCATTTTTAGTGGATATCAGCAGAAAGCCTGCCTGTGTACTAGTTGGAAATCTATTAGCAGTCATATTTTCAGAGCAGTTATGTTGTATAGAACTAATATTAAAAGGACAAACACTGGTGGATACTGTGGAAAGAAGAGTGTAGCTTTGGATGACTTGAGTTCTTTACGTGGCCAGTTCCTTTTTTAGGGCCAGGTACCCTAAGATACTGGTAAAAAACATAGGAGGCTAGAGCTCTGCATGATTTGTTGGATGATTTAAGACAGATTGAGTGATTTCTTGCTTATAGATTGGGCTGAAGGATTGTTTCTTCTCCATCTATTAGTATCCCAGAGGCACTAATAAGGCACTTACCTGGTCTGTAGTGGGATTATTTGTAGGTTTGCAGTGAAGCAGGAGAGAAGAAAGACAGGAGGAAAGAGCAGCCTGAGCCTGTGGACTTATTTGTGACCAAACATTAAAGGAATGTCCCTGGCCTTTGGTTTGGGAGTACATCAGGTCTTCTGCATGTTAACTTTTACCTTTATGTGTGTTCAGATTTTTTCCATTCCTCCGCCTTGAGAAGTGGCAGAAGTGGTTTCCTCTGGGCCCGAAGGGTGTATGTGATAGAAGGAAATGCTTTGTGGTCATAAACCCTTAAGAGAATGGCTTTGGGTGCCAGAGTTAACCTGGGTATCCAGGTTCTATTTTTTACTAGCTGTGTGGCCTAGAAGAAGTTAAGTAACTTCGGTGCCTTAATCTCCTCATCTGTAGGGTATGAATAATAATATCTACATCATAAGAATCAAACGAGTCAATAGCTGTAAAGTGCTTAGAACAGTGCCTGGCAAGTAGAAGGTACTCTGCAGTGTTTGCTGCTGCTTATATTGTTGTTATTTTCCCCACCCAGCCAAGGTGAAAGCCTGTTGGCCAGCGCGCATTGCCTTTTCAGGCTTCAAAGAGCAAACTCATATTGGTCTGAAACCAGTACTGCGGCTTTCAGAATTTCAGGGCCTCCCCTTGCACTTTTATTCACTCATCTTTTAAAATGGGCTTTCTAAACAGGGCTCTGAAACCCAACTGTTTAAAAAAATGTGAGCTGGAACTGAGTCTCAGAAACAATTGTGTCGTCACTGTTTCTGTTTCCCATCTCAAAGTGATGTAGTGCTCAGGGCTGTGCAGTTATCTCTCCACCACACACCCTGTTGTGTTCTTGACAAGATATATTAGATGTTGTTGTTTATTTTATTTATTTATTTTTGGTTGTGCTGGATCTTCAGTCCTGTCTGTGCTTTTCTGTAGTTGCAGCAAATGGCTCTTCTCTAGTTGTAGCATTACTTCTCTTGTTGCGGGAGTATGGGCTCTAGGGTCCGCAGGCTTCAGTAATCGCGGGTCGTGGCCTCAGAGGTTGCAGCTACCGGGCTCTCGAGCACAGGCTCAGTAGTTGCGATGCACCGGTTTAGTTGCTCCGGTGGCATGTGGGATCTTCCCAGATCAGGGATCCAGCCCTGATTCTTTACCACTGAGCCACTGGGGAAGTCCTAGATGTTATTTTTTTTTAAAAGGAGGGGTTAAAGATTTACCTTCTGTGGCCATTCTTCCTTAAGGGATGTCTTCATAAAGTGAGGAAGCCTGGGCTTTTATGAGCCTGGGCGAGGGGTGTGGAAGGCAGAAGAGTGGAGAGAAAAATGAAGATCAACTCTTAAGAAGCTAAGAGCTCCTAGTAGGTAACAGAAACCCAGGAGAAATTTCTTACTGCAGTTTCTTCTTTGTAGGTAACAGGAACCCAGGAGAAATTTCTTACTGCGGTTTCTCCTTTAATTAAATTCTTGTTTGTGTCTTATGTCAGTTGGAGTCTGCTGACTTTTAAGTTCTTCTTGGACAGACTGATGTTGCACAAAATCGGGCTAGGAGGTGAACTGTTCTGGGCTCCAGTCTTACCTATTCTGTTTAGTGTCTCTGTCTCCATGTCCTGAAAATGAAACTAATATTCAATCGAGGTTTGCAAATTCTTCCCTAGATGACCAGCCCCACTGGCCAGCTGGGTGCTGGGGGAGCCAAATGCTGCCTCTGAATCTCCTCTGCTCACTAGATTGTTCTTAAACCAAGGCTTGGCATTATGGCCTGCAGACCAAATCCAGGCTTCTGCCTGTTTTTGTAGATAAAGGTTTATTGGAATATGGCCATGCTCCTTCATTTATGTATTGTCTGTGGCTGCTTTTGCACATTGGCAAAATTTGAGAAGTTTTGCACAGTGATAGAGTTGAGTAGTTTTGATAGAGACCAAATAGCCACAAAACCTGAAGTATTTACTATGTGAACTTTTCAGGAAACAAACAAAAAAATGGCCTACCCCTTATCTTCCACAATGTTCCTGACCAATATTCCTGTATAAAGACGAGTTTCAAATGTATGTAGTATATACATCTGCCGAAAATCCTAAGGGAGCAAAGAAAACTCAAGCCTGTATCCCCACTCATATTTTAGGAAAAAAGAAAGGGACATCATCAACTTCTAGTCAGTTCTCAGTCTTTATAGAAGATCAGCACATGTAAACCCAGGCTACTCACCCCCACCCTTGTCAGGTGACGTGTTTAGTAGATATAAACTAGTTTGGATTTATATAAAAGCTTAACTGTTAGGCAAATTTGCATCTCTTCCCTTCTTACCCTCCTTCCAAAACTAACAACCCACAGTTGCACTGAACACATTTCAAAGTCAGATGGAAATTACTTTGGGCTTATCTCCTGTTTTGGATTCTTCTCCTTACCTTTCATTTTTCTGAACAGATCATCGAGAGGTGGCATAGTCATGATTGCCCTCAAATACTGACTTCCCCACAGGGACATAGAAGCAAATGTCCACGATCAGGTTTTCCACGATGGCTGTCTCAGTGAATGTAAAGCAGCATTGTTATTAGCAGTGCTATTGGTAATTATTAAACTCTCTTTCCCTGCCATGCTTCTGTAAACTTCGTCCTTAGGGATGGGTGTTTGGAGAGGTATGGAACAATAAAAGAGGTTGTTTATTAGCGACCCTCATCAGACCATGGTCCTTCTGGACCTTGGTGTTAGAAACAGCCTGGAGATTAGAATAGAGTGTAACTTTTCTGTGCCACAGAGCCATCTGCCTGTAAAGAAGCATGGGGCTGCAGTTACAGTCCTTTAAGAGCTACAGTTGTCCTTTAAAAACCTGTGATTGAAGCAGCTTCTGTTTGGGAGGCATTAAACATGAAGCACTTCCCAGCCTGACACTGCTAGCTTGCTTTTGACAGCTTTGCTAGCACTGGGCACATGGTCAGCAAAATGCACTGTTGAAGTATCTGACTCTTAAATGTTATCACCAATGATGGCATCCTTGAAATTGGGGGCCACAATTCCTAACTACTTATCCTTTTGGTACCCAGAGAAGCGTGGGTCCATGTGTTATTCAGTATTTTGTACAGCAAAGGATTATCCATATGGGAAGCTCTCCA